AATAATAATGAGAAGAATAAGAATGAGCATGATAGAACACAGCAGGTTGCTAGTTTATTATCTCCGTATTTGGAAATTTCCATGGATAAGCAGATAAGTAGAAAAACACTGAGAAATGTATAATAAAAACGTTGTAAAACATAAGTAAATAAATATAAACATAGAACCACGAAAACCAAACGTATTAGAAATTTAACCATTACTATCTTTACATCCTGGTTTCATAGGTAATTAAAATTTTTGTATCTTCATATTTCTGTAATTTCTGAATGCTCCACAGTGATATGGTTCTATTAGAATGTGAAATATTTGTAATAAATGACACAAAATAGTTGACAGTTTTTAAAAACTGAGAAAACTCCAAGCCAATTAGCCTTGCTCTTAAGGTCTTTTAATCAAGTTCTAACTTACTTTCCCCACCTGAGTCCAGCTAGTTCCTCTGCCTTAATGAGAATATATCCAAGAGATGATCAACTCGGGCTCTGACCCTGAGTGCCTAGGTTCCAACCTCAGCTCCGTCTCTTACTACTTGGATGACCAGTACCTCTCCACAGAGTCACGGTGCGACTTAAACGTTCTAATTGTATAAAGACCCTAGAATTGAAGTTAGCAATTAAGGCTTAATTATTATAAATGCCCATACCCTATTACACATGCTACAAAGACACAGTCTCTGTAAAAGAAAAATGACAAGTCACACTCACGTGGAGCTTTGCTTTCTGTAGCCAAGAAGTCAGTCCGCGCAGTCCTTTTTCAGGCTGGGGAAGGAGAAAGCTGTGAAAACACCCTGACTGGGTCGCTGTCCCCGAGAAAAGTTAAATGCTCCCCTCCCTTCGTGGAAGTGGACGCAACCCTCGCCTTCCTAAAAAGAGGTCAGAAGGCGTCCGGGATCGTCCAGCGTCCTGCAGGGATCAGAGACAAGGGCTGGGGCTCTGACCCCACCCGGGGACCTGACAGGTTTCGTGGGAAATTAACAAGAAACCACCACTCACCAAGTGACAGGGACTGCTTGTGTTGTGTAACCTATTCCAGTTACCAAAACGATTCTACAAGGATGGTCCTAATGTCCCCATTTTAAAGAACAGCAAGGAGAGGCCCAGGGAGATTAAGAAGACAACCTTGCACTGTAAAAAAGTGACCATGCGCCTGGAGTGCAGGAAGGCGGACTGGGCGAGTTCAGAGCCCCGGAAACGCTGAAACCAGGCGAGACGCGACCCAACCAAGTCTCAATGCCCCCCGCCTCCCGCCCCGAAACGCGAGGAGAGCCCCAGCCCAAGAAGGCTCCGCTGACACAACAAAAGCCGCCGCCCTCGTTCCTCCAAACCTTTGCTCTCCGACGAGGCTTTTTTTCCCATAACCGGATCACCAGGTCCCAGCGAGCCCCAAGCTTAAGACCCTGACAGTATAAATGGCCCGCAAGTCGCGGAACTGGAACAAACTACGCTGGAATGCGCCGCGCCAACCGCTCCCCCTTCCCCGGAGCGGAAGTGCCCGCGACTCCACTGATTGTCGGGACTACATTTCCCAGAATCCCCCGGACCCGCCCGCGTGAGCCAAAATGACCAGGACTCCACTGAACGTTTGGACTGCGCTCAGAACGCTGAGGGAAAAACGTTCAGAATCTCACCCTTCAGGGAAAGCGCTGGGACTCCGCGGTGATCCTTGACTACGATTTCCGCAATGCCCATGGGGAACGAATCCTATATCTCTGAGCGCCTAGTAGGGAATGTGGACTGTGACCCTGAGGATCGTCCTTCCCTCTCCCTGAGTCCTTGAGCGAAAATACTGAACAGACAGGAATTCCTGAAGTCTAAACTCCTCCCAGGACTACAGGAGCGTTATTGGAAAGCGAGGAGATCCAATCTTCAAGGAATAAACGAGGAATGACTTTTTAGGGGTCAGTAGATGATTGATGATTGATTACTATAAACTGATAATATAAGGCTAAAACTAAAAGTTTAAAGAATGAGCAAAGTACAATGATTTGGGAGAGGCAATGAAGAACAGAGGCGCCAGGCCCTACTCTGGACGCTGTGGTACCACTGGTTTGGCAGGAAAGGGCCAGTGGGGAAGCCTCGTCCTCATGGAAAAGCTATCTTCCTTCATTACACTTTTCGTGGTATTATGTCTACTGAAGAGGTAAAAACACCAAATTTCAGAGAAGGCCGTAAATTGCCCAGTACTTCAAAGCAAGTGTAACTGGTGAAGC